ACGTGCGTCGTACTAGAAAACAGAAATATAAAAGAAAAGATCCTTACGCGCTATTTTTCTGCTGGCGGACCAGGGGAGATTGTATTAGGCGGATGGTATTACTACTTGGAGATCAATGAGTTACAGCGTCACCTGGGTTTGCCTTCCCTTTAAAGATTTCCCCCTTTAATTGCGCACCTTCGCAGGCCCCGGGGGGGGGGGGGGGAGGGGGAGGAGGGAGGCGGCAGCTTTACATACAAGCATCGTACAGAGAGGCATTTGCTTGTTCACGCGCATCTCTCACTCCCAAAGCTAAGAAGTATTCTTCTTGCCAGTTAGACATTATTTCATAGCCTGATTTGAGCGGGCTAGGTATGCTGTCACTGCCACACCGCAATCGGATATATGGGGGATGATGTGTCTAGCAAGCCAGTTGGGGCTAGATAGACGAGGAGAGGTGTGTGAGGGATGGAAGGATGAACTGGTGTCAAAGCATTGTTGGGATGTTGGGAGGAAAAGTTAAGACAATCGCCATGCAATAGATATTGCCCCTGAATTAACCTTCATCCCATCAACTTCCCACATCCGATTGAAACCTGCCCTGCCGTATCGTATGATGTGTGGGTTGATTGCGGTGGTTGTATACTACAAGGACCGTAGCTAGCTGTAACTTATAGGAAGGAAATAAATAATTCCGTTCCCACGCTCCCATCTGTGGTTACAAAACCCTGAAAAAACGGGACCATTCTATTCCACGACGAGGAATAGGATATCCAACCAGATGTTCTGGATAAGCAAGCTATTTTACCTCCTTGGACGTTCAGTGCAAAGGCATGCTTGGCCGGGTTCATTTCTGGGGTTTCTCTCTGGGATCGTTCGATTCCTACAAGCGATGAGCTGCGCGGCTATGAACTCATACTACGGAGTACGCAGTAACTACTGGGTATCACGCCGTCTCCGTTAACTACCTAGGTATACCGTATCATGGGGAATTGCCTTCCATGGTTTAGCGCTATCCTGATCGGGTTTAGCACAACATCGCTGCTTTCTGGACTATATAAATCCCCTCCCCTCGCTGCTTGAACATCCTCTCTTCATCATCCCTATTTTCCCTTTCTTTCCTCATAATTCTCTTGTCTCATGTGTGCTGTGCCCATCCCCTCTTTCCCCTTGGGCCTCACTGCTAGTGTCACCTGGCCTGGCTGTGCTGCAGCTGAAACTGTTCTTAATATAGTGATCATGTTCACTTTCTCTTCTTCTCAGATGCAATTTCATCTCACTCTACTATTAAGTTACTTTAAAACTATGCACAGACTGAGGCCTGCTACTGAGATATCTAGTCTGTCTGAGACTGTGACTGGCTGAGGTTTTCTGTTCATTTTATTAATCTTATTTTCTTATTATATATACAATGAGTTAATACTCTAAATTAGACTGACTGTGTAATTATATCTGAAATCAGAATTAGATTTTTTAATAGTCTTATTATTAATTTAACTAATCTAATTACATGGTTTTAATATTAGATAGTAGTCTTATACTGTCTCAGTGAGACTTACTATCTACTCTTATTACATTTTTTAAATAAGATTATAATTTTCACTTCTTAATTTAAATTATTTTTATTACTTTAAATAACTTTAAATCTTATTTAAGTATTATCAAAAAGTGTTACTTTTTAAAAAATTAAAAATAGTTTAAAAAAAACCTTAAAATGTCTAAAAATAGTAACTTTATATTAAGAATGAGATTAAATGAGATTAAATGAGATTACTTTCTTAATTTTTTCAAGTCATGAA